CGTGTGAACCCTGTCCAACCGTCACAGTAACGCCCGACGCTCGCGAGAGTTGGGGGGTGCTGCGTAGGCATTTTCGCGACGATGGGCTATCCAGGATTGCTTGGCAGTACGTAAGGAATCGGTAAGGCGGCGACTCCAGAGATGCTGAAGTTCAATGGTGCGGTCCCAAGCAATCTGCCAGGAGGCGAGGTCCCAATTTGAGCGGGGTTGAAGGGGAATAAGAGCAGACAGGTGCGTACGAAAGATTGGATTCGAGTCAAAATCATGGTAAATGCGGCGAACAGTGTTTCGAGGGCCTTTTTGTAAATTGCGATGCCTCCAAGTATGAGCATCATGGAGATGGCGAAGGGCCAAACGGTAGCGCCGAAGCCAGACAACAATGGCTTGAGCCTGGCCTGCTTCACTCGTCTTGTAGATTCTACTGTGTCGAGAAGGCTCCCCAGTCGGAGCAAGCAAGGAGCGCGGGATATCGACACACAATGTAATAAGCTGGCTGTACATGTCAGATAAAAGGGTGTCCGAAATGGAAACGGAACTGGCAGCTGGCAGTGGTCCTGATCCAGCACTGAGCAAGAGTGCAGTAATGGAGGGAGGCAAACTGAGCCGCCATGCAGAAATTTGTGAGGAAATGGTTAGCGGATCAATGTTTTTGAGTTTATCGATATTGATAAGAGGGGGAGAACGGAAAGGAACAGATGGATACTCGATCCATCCATGACCAAGGGAGGCAAGGCTGATACTCGAAAGAGTGGCACGATGATCGGAAGCTCCAGTCGAGCTGTATTGATCCCAATCGAGTACAATGGTGGGTTCCATGTGCTGCAAGGAGAACGAAGTGAAAATCTTATCCAGGATCGAGCGGTAAGTGAAGGTGGCATTCGCATATGTGTAGTGTACGGGAGCAGTATATTGTGAGCTTGAAAGGGGGTCAAAAAGATGGATGGAAGCTGTTCGCAGCTCCTCGATAAAGCGGCGAAGGAACGTGCCGTGCTGACTGTCAGAGGTGCCGCTTACAGAAGACATTGGTGCAGCTGGAGAAGGGGAGCGGAAGATATCACGGAAAGGATCCATGTAGCTGTTGCAATCACCCCCCAATATGATGTGCTGGTGGGACTCAGAAAGAACGGAGGGCGCAAAGGATTTCAAATGTTGACCAAGGTCGGTCCAGAAGGATGCTTTTTGTTGCTGATTTGCGGGAGCATAGATTGCAAATATATGAAGAATCAGGGTGCTGTCACTGGGACCCCGCAAAGTAAGCGCGCCTTGTAGAAGACGTGATTGAAATTTGCCGGGGACTGGAGTCGGTTGAAAAGCAAGCCCATCTTTTACGGCTAGGCAGACGCCCCATTCGCGTAAGCGCGGGTCAAGATATTGTGATGCGACGGTTGAGTCGACATGAGAGGAGAAGTAAAAGGTGTAGCCGTCAAGATGGGTAGAAGGAGCGGAAGGCCCCGAGGACCGTGAAAGAACACGGCGTGTTTCCGTGAGGATGGCAAAATGTACGTTATGTGATCGAAGAAAGGCTGGTAGCCGGGCCAATTTGCCATCAATGCCTCGGACGTTCCAATTAAGAATGCGGAGATGGTCGGCTACAATAATAGAGGGAACGCCCGCGGGGGAAGTAGCAGGGCCCGGATTAGGATGTATGTCGCCACGAAGTAAAAGCAAACACACTAGCAAGCTAAGATGTGCGAGCTGAAGTCCATGAAGAGGCAACCAGGCATGGATGTGTCTATAGCTTTTAGGCGAGTGATCGAGCAAGTTGCGAAACTTATAGATGCGGGGGTACCATGTGAAAGTGCTCGGGCAGCGTAAGATAGGATGATAGAGTGTGGGTGTCCCATGAGGTAAGGCCATACAGTTGCCTGCTATGAAAAGAACGAGAGCACCATGTACGTATTGGAGGAATGAGAGGCGTCGGTATGCACGACGCAGCCGATGACAATAAGTGCGGAACCGACGGTGCCGACGATAGCGCCCTTGAAGCATAAGAGAAGTGGCAGTTGCCCAAAGATGCTGTAGCATGAGAGTTTGAAGATGGAAAGCAAACCACCCAAGAGTGACGAAAGCAAGGAGCACAACAATGGAGGCAGAAGGGGAGCAGGCATGGACAATAAGAGGATAGAGAAAGCATGATCCCCAAATGAGGATATTGGGGATGGGAGAGGGGAAAGGAGATGGCTCACGAGCATGAAGAGCAAAGTAGGGGATGTACTTCGATGCGCGGAAGGAACCAAGGACGCCTGGACAGTCCTGCAGAAATTGGGCAGCATTTCCCCACCCCCCACGGGGTACATCGAATGGGGGGAGCGAAAGCAAAGGAGGGAAAGAATGATAAGGCGCCGCGAGACAAGGAATTATCAACGACACCCTAGGAAGTGGTGGAGCACACAAGATAGTGGTCAAGCGATATTGGCCACCAGGATCCCAGATGAGAGAGCCACCCGGGTCCCAAGTGAGGGGGAAGGTGGCGGTAAGAGAAGCAAGGTCATAGCAGCCAGTGGACACACAGGCACAAAGAGAAGGGAGCGGCATGCTCGGAAAAGAGGCCATACAGAGGTGTGGGAAGCCCTGGGAAGACGGCAACCAAGCTGCCAGTAACAGTCTGTGCCCAAGCAAAGTGCATCCAAGCGGAACCCTAAAAAATGCTAGAGAAGTAGAGAGATCAAAAGATGGCCTATGACAACCCGTGGTGCAAGACTCCGTGGGCAGACCGATGCAAGGCGACGTACAACCCCAAGGGGCAAGCGTACGTCTAGGAGGACCAAGATCACATTCTGCCCATGAGCGGAGGGATGTACGGGTGTCAGCAGGGGATATCTCTACAGCAGCATGAGGTCCACTGGAAGAAGCCTGAAGCAAGAAGCAGACACTGGAAAGCACGAAGCGTACAGCATGGTGGTGAGTGGGCTGCATACCTGGCCTGAGGGTGAGCACGTGATGGTGGTGTGCTGATGCTGTAGCGAGCTGTCAGCATCACCATGCACGAATCTCCTGTCGAAGCGCCCTGAATCTTGAGCGCCAGTTCGTCGACAGGCTACCGCGGGGAATGTCATCATGTTCTGGGGTCAATAGAAGGTCCATCTAGCAGATCAGCTCTCCACGCGCACTTGAACTCGAAGCAATGAGTTGGCCAAGCGTTGGCGCTGGGGCCATAGACTGGGCGTAACCAGGCAACAGCAAAGTGTGCCAGGGTGGTCCATACGCAAGAAAAGTTGCAAGCATGGTAGGTTCTCTGTCTCGAGCTGGCAAGGCTCCACTTTGGTTGACCAAAGATGTCTTAAAAACTTCTGAGATCGCACGCTTGATCAACGGGACACCCCGCTCAGCGGACGCCCAATCCTTCCTGGTTGCGTCATGCTCTGGAAGGACTTTTGCAGAGGCCCATGAGGACCCTTGGGACCCCCGGCACTTGCGACGAGTGCACTCCAGTGCGAGTTCGCAAGCACGCCCTGACTTTTCGGACGCCCATGGTCCTGAGGAGTCCGCTGAGCCTGGCGCCAGGCCAGCTGCAGGGCTTGGGCAAGGCCGCGACGGATTATCGTATGCAACGCACATGCCTCTGACGCCGCTGCAAACCGCAGCCGTCGCAGTCGGTTCAGCTTTTGGGGCGTTGAGGCATCCGGACAGGGCTGACCTGGTGAGGGGACTGTACTCGGTTGACTGGGTCTTGGGGTCTGGGGAGAAAGGTTTTTGTGAGTCAAACCGCGTGCCAAGTTCGTACAATTGGAGTAAAGCACAACACTGAGATTGGGAAAGGGGCAGGGGCGCAACATGGAGTTTCTTGACTTGTTGACCAAGTAGGACTGAAGTTGCAGCATTCTTGTCTTGAATCAAAGATATCCTTGGATACCACTCTTGTAGTGATCAGAAAGGTGCACTGTAAGATGACAATTGGATAGATGATTCAGACGCTGCAGTCGAACACCCTGACTGCTGAGGTTCTAGAAACAGTGGCGGCATCTATAGACCGCACCCAGTCAACTCTGGCGTATAGACCGCACCCACTCAGTCCAAGTGAAGCACAAGACGTTGACTGATGACAGGTGGTCGGTCGCTTGACGGCCAAGGATAGTAGCTCCGAGCTCGTGTGAAGGCCACAATCTTCTGTTTTACTGGAGCTTGTTGTCTGTTTTTGTCAGTATAGGTAGCGGCCCTGGGGGAGACCACCGGGTTGTTGGCGTTCCGACGCATGCGGGAGCGGATGCAGCGGGACCCCGAGGGTCGCTCCATCCTGGCGGACCGGCCGCGCATCACGGCTGCCAGCGTTGCGCACGCCTGGGACCTGCCCCCGGGGACGTTTGGGGCAGCGTATGCGCAGTTCATGGGGTCAAGGAACTTCAGCGCGGACGAGCGGCCACCGGTCAGTTACCTCCCTGCTCCAAGCTCTGCAGAGGACAGCTGAGGGCCACGGTTGAAGTGAGGGCTCCCTTGGCAGGCTTGTATTCCTTTCTAGAAGGTCATGGATGGCTGAAGTGAAGGTCGGCGCTCTTCTTTTTTTAAGTTCAAGTGTCTGGTGAAGGTTCAGATGCAATTCGGTGATATCCTTTCTCGAGATTCTGATAGTGAATGAGAGCAGTAGCAATACGCGTTCAGGTTTGTCTGGGTTCTGCTTCGAGACGACAAGTGTTTGTGACCATGACTTGCATCCACAGTCTTTTCAAAGATTTAAGAGACTGTGATCCAGCATTACGTCCTGGGAAAGGCGTTGAACTTGGTCAGAAACCAGGACAACTCGATGCTCTCCCTTTACTACAGCACTCCTCAGGCCTGGTCTCTCACCCCCCTGCTCCGTGTGGCTGGCTATGCAGGTTCGTTTTGTGGACGATCCCGAGCTGGCGTATGTTGCGGTGCGCAGCCGCGAGGTGCACGACTTTTGGCACGTCCTCTTTGACTGCCCTACCACCGTCACTGGGGAGCTGGCGCTCAAGATGGTCGAGTTTGTGCAGGTCAGCGCATGCCGCCACGGGGATCTTTGCTCCATATAACCGAAGCCGAAACTTATTGTTACACTTCACGTTGGTCCACTCTCGTCAAATTGGATCGCCGTTGTCTCTCCCTTTCTTGGGACTTGTCCCAATTTACGGTGTTATTAACACACACTTGACACAACAGTAGGAGACCTGATTGTGCCCCAGCTTACACCACAGTACGAACTCAGCACGCGTTTATTCTCACGTGCTAGGCACTTACCGTGACTGGTAACGGCACCTTCAAGCACCTCGGTTTTATCGGGTTCGAAACTTGTATGTCGTTGTATCCTCACGCTGTGTCTTCCAAGAAGTTCTTGCGCAATGGGCTTTGAAGCGTGAGATGTCTCTCATTTGCAGACGGGCATGCCGATGTGTGCGCTGTCTGTCTTGGGTGGGCCGTTCCGGCTCCCGCCTCAGAAGCGGCAGCTGCTGCTGACACACTGTGCACCGTGGGCTCTCAAGGCGGGAACGCGGGCGGCCGACCTCATGTGTCTCCGTTATGAAAACCATTTGGAGGAGGTGAGCTTATTGCTTGTTTAGATCCATGTTACGTCCAAAAGCGGGCGCAAGCGCTACTTGACGGGCCCGGACCGGGCGCACTTGTCAAGTGAATATGCTATGTTCTCCTAGGTTTTGTAAACTGTGGGCTTATACGCGATGTATCTCACTTTGTTAACTGTCGCGCTTTTGTTGGCTGTGCAGGATCTCGAACAACTGCGCAGGAGATGGAAGATTCTTCCCAGCAATCCTGCACCTTCTCGCAAGAAGCCTTGATGTTCAATGTGTGGGCATTCGACAGACATCAGTTCTGTACATTTTGGGGAGTTTGGCAATCGCTCTATCTTGCAGGGCAGCTGGCATTCCTGATACGACTTTCAGTGGAGTGCGCTGAACCTCGTGGTAAGGTTTTTGGAATTGGTGGTCGATTGCGAAGAAAGAAGGTCCACAGGCCCGCACGGAACCTCGTTTAGGGTCGTATCTTGATGCAACGTACTTGCATAAAAGATTGCGTCAAGCTCCTGATGCACTGTACCTATGCAGGTCAATCTAGCTGGCAGGCCGGGCAGATCATAGCAAATGAATTATAAGGTACACTAAGAATCGCATGCGTGTCTAAGAAGATGTATATACTGGTGCATATTCGTTCTAAAAGTAATGATATTCTATAGGTGTGTCGATCAGCTCACCACCTCGTTGAGTTGCATAATCAATGGGTTGCATTGAAATGACTTTTTTCTGCATGTATGTGACACGTCTGCATTAATTCAATTGTATATGGCTTCGGGGCGCATATAGGTGCATGCTGCACGTAAGCTTTATACATAGCTTGGTTGAGTACAACATACTAATGCATGCAGTCAGATAACTTTGCGCCGCCGGGTATGTTCGAACGTTCTAGTATCCTATTGCGCGCTCATGGTGTATCGCAGCCGCCTTGATCAGACGCGCGTCAACTGTCAATGATGCATGCATGATCTCCTGGCTCCGAGAGGCTTTCGAACATTAATATGTGGCGAGCTAGCCTGTACGGTCGCCGCAAATGATCGAGCTTTCTAGTGCCAATCGCTGTAGAGCTGGTCGCCGGGATGCTCGTCAGACCAAGCTGCATGGGCGGCCCCGGCTCATGCACTAATGCAACAATGCTCTTACCGTCATCCACGTACGTTGACTCAATGCTCACTCGCTGACCGTCATCCACAAAATCTTCGATCTATTTATAGTACCATCTTACTCGAACTTGAAGCATGTTCAAACCACTAAAAAGCCGCGCAGTAGTAACTGGATACAATGATTGCTCGTCTCTCTGCGGAATCCCGTTATAGCAGAAGGTTCCCGGCCCATTTGGAAGCCTCGAGTAGATCTTGCTAACTTGTCTTATCAAAGGGTCAAAATACCAAGAGAAATTTCCAAAATTTCATGAGCTCCAATAGGTTGTCTTCAAGTACATGTATGTGGCCGGCTTTGCAATTGCATACACACGTCGACTAGTGGCATTGGACAAGCTTTCAACCTCGAGTGATCTGCAAGTCTGTTTGTCTGCCCACACAGTCCTATGCCAAAGTGACCCTGCTCATCAAACAAGGCTATATTGTCTCTGAGGGTTTTAGAAGTACACCCTTTTTCTGATCAATATGGAAACGTTTCCCTGATCACTACGAATGAAATAGGGCTGCTGAGTAGTTCAGTCTGTTCCAGGGACCGGGACATAGGAGGGCCGGGACAGAGAGCTCGCTATAGCTTGTAGTGCACTCAAACGAGTAAGCAAAAGGTTTCCAGAACAAGCTTTGAAGCATCATGGAAGCAATGTATCATCAAATAGTCAACTTATCAACGACGTCATCATAATCTAACCAGCCATCTTTCCAAGAAAGCCGGTGTTTTTATTCTAGAGCTTGGCAAAGATCGAAAAGTAATGATCCTGAAACTCACCGTCGCACGTCGGGGGTTCAACAAGGATTTCAAGTATCAGGGTCCTGCAAAGAACGGGGTTTCAATTCGGAAGGATTTTGGAACAGTCTGACTGGTCTGACATACTGACATGCTGTACAGTGAGAAATCCGGTAGCTGGATAGCTGTGCACTGGCCTTGGCTTCGGATGTTCGGAGTCTTAGAACAGGACGAATGACTTCGGACTCTTCGATGC